TTAAGCATTAAACGTGACTTAATCAGCAGTAAGTACCTGGAAGATTCCGTTTTCCTTTCTGTCTTCAAGTGCTTTCTTCAGCTTTCTTGTTAGCTCATCCTCCTTCGAGCTTTGATCGGTAATCTTTGACCGTAGCGTTTCAATTTCTCTCTTTTGATCCTGAAAATATAAGAGTAGCAAGTATTCCGAAGCGCGACAGATCGACATACCCCGATAGTTATAACCTGCCGCCGGCTCGCTTCCTTCTCCTCAGCAAGTTTGTTGAGCACTTCTCTAATTTCTAACTTTGCTGCAGCCTCATCATCGCGTGCCTGTAAGCAAAACGTCAAGTCAAAATCCAACCATAATCTTGACTGCTAGATCACCTTCGATAATTTCTCTTCCAAGCTTCTCACTACCTCCCTTTGCACCCTCAACTCCTGTTCCAGTCGTCGATCATTCGCGGACTCGGTGAGTTGTCGTACCCGTTCTTGCATTTGCATCATATCATTCTCCGAGATTCGCATGCTTTCAGTACATCTTAACAAAAATGAGACATTTACGTGGAAACAGCAGGTTTTTGCTTTAATAGGTTCTTACCGCGCTACTTCATCTTCTAACTTCCTAATAGTTTCCTCTTTTCTAGATATTTCTTCCAATTGAGATCGTAGCTTCTTTTCGGACTCTGATACTGCTGCTTGAGCTGCGCTAAGCTTGCGGGTCACTTCCTGGAATAACATAGTTCTCATAACAGCGCATCTTTCAGTACCTCTAAAGGTAGGATGGATAGTTGAATCAAAGCAAAAAAACAAAAGTAAAAGCACTGTAAAAACCTCGAAGACTGACTTAAGCAAACAAAACAAAAGTCAAAAAGTAATAAAATAAAAAGCCCAAAGATATGTCCAACCTCATACTCGGTCTCAGACACACCATTCGATTTCGTTGATGAGTTCGAAAGCACGCTTGTGGTGCTCGCAGAGGAAGCAGCCTCTTGTATTTTTAAAATTGGGCTACAAATAGAATGGTTAAGGAAAATGCGGAAAAAGTAACTGGTATAACCAACAAGCAAAAAAAAACTGTAAAAGAAAAAGCATGAACGTAAACCGTAAATTACCTAAGTTCATTTGAATATGTAAAACCGATGAAAGGTAATTGATTTCCTATGAAGGTTTTTGGCAATTGAAAAGACTCCTGCAGAGGCTTCGCTTCAATATCCTGATAATTCAAATAAACGCTTGTAAATTATATTAAACAACAGAAAAGAATTACCTCAAAGTGTGTGGTGTCATCATCACCCTTCAACTCGGGTATGACTGGCGGCGTGGCTGAAACGCAACTCATGAATAATGCACCTTAACGGTGAAGCATTAATCAATACCATTCCGTAAAGTTTCAAAATTCCACTCGTCATTCTTGAAAAATGGATGCTGTCGAATTTCATCAACAGATTTTCCTAATCGAACATCAGCAGACGACAAGAATTTGCGAATGAGATCCTAAAAAAAGGGTAATATTGGGGTAAAAAGACGACAGAGAAGGAAAAAAATGGAGAAACTAGTACTTTTGCATGAGCAGAAATAGCTGGTTCATCGGGAAAGCGAAGACTATTTTTATGATCCATAATATTCGAATAAGTGGAGACGAGAGCTTCGGCGAAGAATGGAGTTTCCCCAATAAGCATTTCATATATGAATACGCCAACGGCCCTAAAATCAGATGAACGTGAAGAGAAAATACAAACAAACATGATACACGAAAAAAAAGAATATGGTAGCTTACCACCAGTCTACCTCCGTGCCGAATTCGGCTTCCTTTCCTTGATTTTGCAAAATCTCAGGAGCAATGTAGTCAGG